CATAGATTAGACTCTAAATAGACTCATGCACATTTGTACCAGAAAACATGTAGAAGAATGTTCAGAATAGCACTGTTTATAGTATCCCCAAACCCTGAACTATCCAAATGTCTATCAACAGTAGAATGGATTAATAGAATGTTGTAGTCTCATACAATGATATACCATGTAGCAATAAGAGTGAATGAAGTAGAGCTACATGGATGAATTTCACCAGGTAAGGCTGAAAAGAAGAAGCCAAACACAAAAGAATCCATACTGTATGAGTCCATTTCTATAAAGGTCATAATATAGCAAAAAATTTATATTGTATGAATAAATGTATGTGTCTATATATACATATATATATAAATATATGAGTGTGTGATATTTATAACAGACAAAAGAATTTATATGACCATTAAAAGGTCATAACTGGCTGGGTGCGGTGGCTCACACCTGCAGTCCCAGCACTTTGGGAGGCTGAGGCAGGAGGACTGCTTGAAGCCAAGAGTTCGAGACCAGCCTGGGCAACATAGTGAGATTCCATCTCCACAAAATGGTGGTATGCGCCTGTAGTCCTAGCTACTCGGGAGACTGAGGCAGGAGGATTGTTTGAGCCCAGGAGTTTGAGGTTACAGTGAGCAATGTCATTATAGCTCACTGTACACCAGCCTGGGTGACAGAGTGAGATGCTGTCTCTAAAAATAAATAAATAAATGTCATAACCAAGCAAACCTAAAGTATTTTTTTCTTCTGGTAAAAAAAGCTATAAAAGAAAGAAAGGAGATTGTTACCATAAAATTCAGAATAGTGGTTACCTCTGAGAGGAAGGCAGTGGATATGATACGGGGCCATCCCAGGGGCTTCTGGAGTGCTGGTGATGCTCTCAGTCTTGATGTGGATGCTTGCTAAACTTCCACATTTATGTTGTATGCATTTTTCTGTAAATATATTTCACAGTAAAAAGGAAAAATAAAAAGCAGCCAAATAAAGGTGATGTTGTCTATATTCCACTAAAACTCTGTGTCCACTGAATACAGTAACCTTTATAGCATTGAATACTAGGCTCTTTACCTTATGTAAGACTTGGAGAAACTCACTGAGACATTCTTGTAGGTTAAACTATCTTTTTTCAATGCACTTGAAGCATTTGTTTACAGACGGGTCTTGGTTGTACGTTCAGAAGCAAAAAGAAATTCTTTGTTTCTTCACCCCAAGTTTTAGCCTTTTCTTCTGAAACACAAAGAGATCCTGATTTTAAGCCAACTTGTATTAACACAATGCTAGGAAATCACAAGTAAGCACGAACTTCTGGTGTGTATGTGAGTAAATTACTGTGTGCTTTGTGCCAAGCCCCGTAAAGACCTTTAACTTATCACAACTTTATCTCCATTTTACAGATGAGGAAACTGAGGAAGACAGGAGTTAAGAAAGTTGCCAAGGTGATGTATCTCAAAGTGGTGAAGTAAGGACTCACACTCACGTCTGGCTGACTAAGCCCAGGTCGCCTGTTGTGATCTTAACCACCAGGCTTCACTGCCTAATGCATTCTCTGGGACGGGAAGATGCTATGGGCAGCGGTAGGTCCACAAACAGTGGCAAGGCACTTCTCCATTTTCACCAAAGACTGTTGGAAGCTTTTGATAGATCAGGAAAACGTAGGAGCCCAGCTCTCACCTCTGAAGAATTTTTAAAGAAATTCTCCGGGATCAGCCCTCAATATACCAATTTTGCAAATTCCTATTTCCGTGCCCACATTGTGTTAACTTGAAATAAACTCAGTTATTCCTTTGTCATACACTAGAGGGCGCCTTTTAACTGATTTTCAAAAGTTGAACGTGGGGGTTGCTGTGTGGACGCGTTCAACAGCATGAGTACAAATGGCAAAACTAAAATGGGGAAAAAGCCGACTAAAGTTTTAAAACTCCATGAAACTCAGAAAGGAATGAAAGAGGTGGCAGAGAATTAATCCGGTTTCACGAATGATTTCTAAAAGGCAGCAACATTTTAGTAGTTTCCTGACCTGCCCACGTGTCTTAGCTCCAAATTCATTTTAGTTTCATTTGTTGCACAAACTTAATTTTTAGTTGAGGTTTATGTCCTTTTCACTTCCACATTTCCCAAATTCATAAGTCGGTGCCTGTGGCACTGCGTAGACTCCTGGGGTTGGGGTGTCAGCTTACACGCAGCCTTCAGTAAATAATCCGTCAGAGTTCCACCCATTTTTGCCTTTTCCCCCTTCCCTCTTCCCTGGGAGGAATCCTCCCTTCGCCGGGAGAGGAATTCCCTCCAAGCGCGGCGCGGCCCGGAGCCGCAGCTCAACTTCGTTTGCTGTTTGCTGAAACTTGCTTTCTGCCAATTAAGAGCCATGCTGCGAGTGATCGTGGAATCTGCCAGTAACATCCCTAAAACGAAATTTGGAAAACCGGATCCTATCGTTTCTGTTATTTTTAAGGGTAAGGAAAAGTTTTCTTCTTTTTCTGAAGCCCTGTTTTGGCATGTTAGTTTCTTGGGTCAGGTTTTCTAAAAGTCTGCGTGTAGGCAGCTGATAGAGCCGAGTCTCTCCTGCTTGGCTTGTTACCTGCGCAGGTCAGAGGAGAGGACGGATTCCTGCGGAAAGCCATGAATTTTCCCCGGGGCTTGGGACGCATGGAATGACCTGATATTTGAAGTCTAATAATGGGATTTCTGTAAGCCCTTGGAGGAAAACATGTATCTCCTAATCTTTAAATTTCGGGTATCAGAAAGGTCTGTATCCGTTCAAAGTAAGAGGTTCAGCAGTCTTATGTGCATATTTTTCTCTGCCTGTGAGAAATGGGTAAAGTAGGAAAAAGAGCAACTAAATTGTTGGAGGCACCATTACTCCATTGAACAGCCTGATGCTGCCTGTATTGTCATTGGGCTTCTGGGAGGCGGGGTGAGGTTAATATTTTGAATTAGTTTATTTTCATGTTCTCTTGTGCCACTTTGTAATTGTTCTTCATGTCAAGGCAGTTGGTGTGTTTTTTGTATGTTCTGTAGCTTTTAAATTGCTCACGGAGGAAAGAGGTCTAAATAGCAAGTCTGAATTTTGGAGATCTAGTTCTGTCTTGCTGAATGAGAGGGTGAGTGACTTCATTTCTCTGGAGTCTCAGTTTTCTTTTCTGCAAAATGGGTGAGGAGGGTTTAGACTAGATCATTGTTAAAGGGCTTATGATAATGTCAAACAGTTATTTTTCTATGACATTTGATTCTGATTGCAGGGGAGGGGACAGGAGTGCTCCATGGCAAGTTCAGTTTTGGCTGGAGCGGTGCGGCTAAATCCGAGTGTAGGGGCTGTATTCATTTTCTGTTTGTCCATGGTGGGTGATAAGATTGCCAGCTCACTTCTCGGCAGGAGGGATGGCAGAGAGGGTGGGAGCCTTGACAGGCACATGCTTCCTGACCACGCCTTGGTATATTTCTCACTTCCTCCAGGAGCCGGACTGCTTCTCCCTGCTAGTTCCTGAGTAATCTAATACCTTTCTCCTTTCTTCTGCCCATTTTTTCCTCCCTATTTCTCTTCTCAAACCTCTCTCTCTGTGGATGAGCAAGAAAAGGAAAGAAAGAAATGAAACTCAAAGCTACCAAATGGTTATTTAGTTTTTTAAAAAAGATCTGGAGGGCAAAAGTTAGATTCTTAAAGGATAATGTCATTTGAAAATCTGACTAGTGAATATCATGTGGTCATGTTAGATCAGAGTTATTAATAATTTATGTGTGTTAGGTTTTTTCATCTTTTTTTTTTCTTGAAGCAGTTACACAATAGGAACATAACATGAAGAGTTTTCAACTTCAACATTGACATGTAAAGGCATATCAAAATATATTGGGATCAATCTGGTGATGTCATTATTTGAGGCAAGCCATATAGATTATAAAGGAATTGGAGTTAACACCATATTGAAATCTGACTTGTTATTTGCGTGGAGTGTGTATGCACTGATCAAAAATTTTAAATGACTAAAAATATGTCTAAGGCTATGGATGCGAATAAGCAATTGGAAGTGGAAAATTTAAATTGGCAAATATAATCCATCCAAACAATTGCATTTACTAGATTATTTAACCTCAGTCTCTTTTCTGGTCTCCTTTGGTTATACAAACTGAGTGGTTAAGTCATTCATTCATTCATTCATTCATCCAACAAGCAACTTGATGGAAGAAGGAGCATTGAACACAGAATAGGAACATCTGCACTCTAGCTGATGTGAACACAATATCTGATGACCTTGGCTAACCCAGATTTAACCACCTGGGTCTCGAATTTCTCAGCTGTGGATGATGGCAACTGGTCTCCTTTAGGTTCCTTCTGGCTTTAAGATTCTATAATTTTCTAGTTCCAGGTATTGAATATCTGCTCTCAGCAAGATGTGAAATGCGTTGCCTTAGGTGTTAGGGAGACAGAGTGATGAATACGGCGTTTTTCTCGCTTTTAATCTATCCTAGTGATTTACAACACTGGTGATGGCAAACTTTTTCCAGGTGTGCCCACCAATTTTGAGTACTATGTAAACTAAGTAATATTAAGTTCTGAAGGACTGAGGACACCATGATAATGTCCATCAGAGGGAACATGGATCAAAGTCAAATGCACTTCACGGTGTGGTGTGGGGTAGAATGTGGTAAGATGTACAAAGCCCTAACAGATCAAGGGGGCATGGAAGAAAATCCCTGTGTTAACTGAAATGTGTAAACAATTTGCCTCTGGGGTACATAAAACAGCAAGGTCAAAGCATAAGCAGCTCTTCTCAAACTGTAAAATGGTAGGAAGAATCACCAAGCGAGGGATGTGTTGATGGTGATGCTGGCATGACACTGTGAGGTCCTGTTAGACAGTAGCCAAGCTAGAGCTGGGAATGTGCTGTTCTGACGACCAACTGGTTTGGAGTTGACCTCAGCCTTCTATGTTCAAACCCCCTCTGAGGATGACTGTCAAATGAGTCAGGAGTAGGTATGAACTAGGAAGATTTGGGGGTTACTGTAGCCCCTGTTGCATGGTTGTTGTTGATATTTAGCCATGTTGGAGTAGATTATGAAAGCCACAAAGTTTATTTGATTTTTCACATCCTTGGGGTGCACCAGGTTCCACGAGCCAGCTCTGAATCTGAAGGCTGGAGTGCCTGTGAGCCAGATGTGGCCCCTCTGTCCTGTGTGCCACACAGCCAGGCTGTGGAGCCGAATCTCGCCGAGATTAGATCACACAGACCTCTGAGACCTCTCTCAACTCTGAGACCTTATGATTCCCCCAAATGTAACAAGCTTCAAAAAAAATTTTAATTTAAGTAACACATTATTTTTAAATTATTATTTTTATTAAAAACGAATGCACATAAAACTAAACTAACAATCTGGAAGGGATTATACAACTAAGAAGTGAAAATTCTCCCCACTGCCCTCCTACTCTTTCTCTCTCCCATTTTTACTACCTCAGGGTCACCACTCTGAACAATTAGATTGGAATCCTTCTCGGCTTTTTGCTGTAGACATGTAACTTGTCGCAACCACTGACTGTTAGCGACAATACTGCAATGAATGGCCTTGTAGCGCATGCGTTTGTGAAGATATGAAATGCATTGCCTTAGGTGCTAGGGGGATATAATGATTAATACGGCATTTTTTTGCTTTCATTCTATCCCAGTGGTTTACAACACTGGTCATGGCAAAACCTTTCTGTCTTTGTGTGCACGCATGTGCACGTGTGTGTTTCCTTTCCTTTCCTTTTAAAGACAGTTTTGCTAGATATTGCTGTAGATTTTTATTTTCCCTTTGACCCATCCCTTGCTTCTGTGTCAAATCTCTTGACATGGTTGCTTGTGAGGAAATTTTTTTGCATACTTTTATACTGTTGTGCCTTTACAATGTGGCGACATTACATTCAAATGAAACATCCATCTCCTGGAGAACATGGTTGTTACCACCGTAGCAGTTCTCTCATCCAGTTCTTACAGTATGGTCTGTCCCATAAGCCAGAATTTTCTCTCATTTCTGGTCTTCTGCAAATCTTTTGCTTGTGGAATGGCTGCTAGTGTTCAGAAGACCATGAAATAATTGTCACAGTCAGGGGTATTTCTAGGGCCCCTCTCCAATTAGCATATCAAACTTTGTGGTCTTGAGCAAACCAGTTAACTTGTATGAGAATCCATTTTTTTCTTCTGAAAAATGGGGCTCTAACGGCTTATCTGAAAGGAGGTAAGTCTGTAGAGATCCTTAACAGCTGTGAGGTATCCCATAGAGACTTGCCCGACTATTTTTAGCAAGAACTACTTTGCGATTTGAAATTTTACAGTTTTTTTTCTTTTTCAGTTGGGGACATTTAACACCAAAGACATTTTTTAGAGAATCTTTTAAGTAGGTGCAAAAGCTATGAGATTCCATTTAAGAATGGGGCAATATGATGGGAGAAAGATCTCACGGGTCTCATCTGTGGTCTGTCAAGGCACCTGGTGAGTCGCCCACAGAGAGCCTTGGTTCACCTGGTGGGCTCCACGGGACTCATCAAGAAGGTTCCTACCAGTTCAAGCTGACAATCATGCCGTGTGGGCACTCCCATAAAACCGCTGCGCCGTACTCACAGCACACTCAGGAACGCAAAAGTGTTTAATGTACTGAGTCATTCCCATCACTTCCGGAAGAACAGGGCTTGGAGACTCACTGCCTAAGGAAAGTGGCCCCGCCCCACTGAAGCAGGGGAACTCTCACAGGTACACTCCCCAAAGGCACATTCTGCGGGCTCTCAGTCCTTTATAAAGCCACAGTTGCCTTTTAAAAATTAATTAACGTGTCTCGTTTTTTGTTTCTCCTCTCCTCCTTCCCAACATATCTTAACCTGCACGCCTTCAGCCCAGGGCCGTGGGGGTTTGTCTGCTGTAGGTTTCTTGTCTGATTACTGATGAGTTTTTTCATCCCCCTAGAATGTGGTTCCGTCGAGAAGACATGGGATTTTTATATCCTCTGCAACACCTGGCACATCACTGATGTTGTATGTATGTTTTAAATGTTGACCCTGGAAGCAAAGAGCTGGCAGGAGATTGGAGACATCTTGGTGTGATAGAGTCATTGATTCTTAGTCCTGAAGGGGACCGTGGGAAGTCAGCCAGTCTCTTCTTTCAAGCAGAATTCCACTCAGTATTCTCTCAGGTGTTTCTGGATGAACAAAGAACCACTCCACACATTCCTGAATACTGAGCACAACCGGTTCCCAGCACCTGCTACCCAGAGGTAAATTGGTGGCTTAGATTTTTTTCATTCTTGTTCTTGGCAAGGAAAATGTGAAGCTGCCGGGGTTTTTTTTGTTTTGTTTTGTTTTTTGTCCTGCTCTGTTGCCCAGGCTAGAGTGCAGTGGTGTCATCACAGCTCACTGCAACCTCAAATCCTAGGCTCAAGCGATTTTCCTGCCTCAGCTTCCCAAGTAGCTGAGACCACAGGTGCATGCCAC